AAGAAGAAGAAGAAGAAGAAGAAGAAGAAGAAGAAGAAGAAGAAGAAGAAGAAAAAGAAGAAGAAGAAGAAGAAGAACTATTCACACATTCAAGACGTTCTTGGAAACTACAAATGTACTTCTTTTTTTTCTTTGGTCAACATGTTTCCGTAACATCTGCACAGAAGTGTGTTTTCAAATGGAAATAACGTGTGTTGAGCCTAGAACCCCCCCCCCCCCAAAACAAAAAAGCCAACACCCCCACCCCACCCCCAACCGTAAAAAATGCCCCAAAGGGCGGAGAAAAAAAATCGGTTTCTTCTATTTCATCATTTTGACCAGCGCCTGATTTGACCACAATGCCACACTTATGATTCAGCAGTTCTAAAAATTCCCACTCGATGACTGATGTTGGAGATTTTCCTTGCCATGGCTTTTAAAGAGAGACTTTTCCCATCAAATCCCTTAAATAAACGTGAGGCAGCGTGGTGAAATCAGGCACTCGTCAAAATAATGAAAGCAATAAACTGGCATTTTTCCACAGATTTGGGAATTTTTATCAAATTTTGTTGTTTTTTCAGCTCAACACCTTTCATGCCCTTTAAAGAACACATTTCTGTGTGGATTATACTGAAAAGCGTTGATTTAAGACATAAAAGATGTAAATTGTTTAGTTTCCACAAACTGTCGAACAAAGGAAATAACTTTGGCGGAAATTTCTCTCTAATTTTACCTCTGAAACTAGCTGACCCCCACCTCCTTCAATTACCAATATCTTGACTTGTATTCAAGATATTTTTTTTTGGGGGGGGGGGGGTCATCAAAAGTAAGGCAAATGCACAGGCTTTAAGATGATACCTATAACTCCAACGCCACAAAATTGACGAGCGCCTGATTCCAACGCGTTGTGACAGAAATGGTCTGTGACATCGCTGTATCTGAGCAATAGGAAGCACTACTATTCACAATAGACAGTGCACACAGGCAGCAAAGCAAGCAGGAAGAGACAGAGAGAGAAAGAATGAGAGCGACAGAGGTGGGGGTGGCACAGAGAGAGAGAGAGAGAGAGAGAGAGAGAGAGAGAGAGA